GGGCACTGGGAGGTGCTGGGGGGCACTGGGAGATGCTGGGGGCACTGGGGGCACTGGGGAAAACTGGGAGGCATTGGGAGGCACTGGAGGCACTGGGGAGTACTGGGGGAAACTGGAGATCACTGGGGAGCACTGGGGGAAACTGGGGGGCACTGTGGGCACTGGGGGCATTGGGAACACTGGGGGGCACTGGGGAAACTGGGGGGCACTGGGTGGCACCGGCAGAGAGGGAACAAGCAGAGTTTGGTGGTTCCATGGCGGTGGGTGAGGACAGGGGGGTCCCCGGGGGTCCCCCAGGTGGGACAGGTCCGGGGGGGTCCCGGGGGTCCCCCAGGTGGGACAGCTCTGCCATCCCTGCGGGTCCCTCGGGAATGTCCCCGCAGGGATGGGACACCCAGGGCTGTCCCCACCGGGACCCCCCGACAGGACAGGAGGGATTTGGGGGAAAACACATATCATCATTTTATATATATATATATATAAAAATATATATAAATATATATTTATATAAAAATAATAAAATTAAAATATAATTAATATATATAATTTTTATATAAATATTTAAAAATAAATTATATAAAAATTATATATATATAATTATATATAATTATATATATGTACTACATATATCAATCATATATATAACTAAAATACCTACATATAAAATATAAAATCACATATAAAATACAGCACATATACACACATATGCACATGAACAGAACATACACATACCAATGCGTATATACTGTGTATATTGTATTTTATAATTTATATTTTATATATATTTATTCGCACGCACGCCGTAGATTTTGGATGGAATACGTATATATAAAATATAGATTGTGCTTCCCGAGGTCTATATTATATATAATGATATCTAATTACATATTCTAAAATATATCAACTGGCTTATATATTTTATTATATGTACTAGATGAAAATTATATATATTATGCCTATAACTATACATATTTTTAAATTCTAGCATTATACAGATTCTGTCATTATTTCTGTATAATTATATACGGACGCACAAAGTTCATAATTCCGGCTGTTGGGAAAGCCCCCCCTCCCCACATCCAGGGAAAATCATTCCAAGGAAATTCCCATCCCCGGCAGCCGCTGCCTGGCGATCCATCCCATAATAAGCACGTGCTGTGCCTCCCAGCATTCCCGGGAATCCACACGGGGCTGGACCCCACAGGGGCTGGGGTCCCACATGGGCTGGGGTCCCACACGGGCTGGGGGCCCGGCAGCCTCCGGCCTCTTTTATTTTTTATTCTCTTTTATTCTTTTATTACCCCGGGCTCACACGGGAGCCGCGGGCGGTGGCCACCGAGGGGTTAAAAACAGACAGAGCCTGCGGGTCCCGGGGGTCCCGGGGTGTCCCAGGGGTGTCTCAGTGTGTCTCAGGGTGTCCTGGGGTGTCCCAGAGGTGTCCTGGAGGTGTCCTGGGGTGTCCTGGGGTGTCCTAGAGGTGTCCCAGGATGTCCCAGGGGTGTCTCAGTGAGTCCTAGGGTGTCCTGGAGGTGTCCTGGGGGTGTCTCAGGGTGTCCCTGGGTGTCCTAGAGGTGTCCCAGAAGTGTCCCAGGGGTGTCTCAGTGTGTCCCAGGGTGTCCCAGGTTGTCCCAGGGGTGTCTCAGTGTGTCCCAGGGTGTCCCAGGGGTGTCTCAGGGTGTCCCTGGGTGTCCTAGAGGTGTCCCAGAAGTGTCCCAGGGGTGTCCCAGAGGTGTCCCCGGGGTGCCCGGGCTCCCACCCCGCTGGAGGACGCCGGCGCTGGCAGCTGTGCCCCAGCATTCCCGAGGGATTCGCTGCCAGGCTGTGCTCAGCTCCATGTGGAATAATCCCGAAAACCAAGGAAGAACCCAAAATGGTGTCTCCCAAAGGGACCTGGGGACACCAGCGGGAGGAGCAGGGAAGGAGCAGCAAGGACAAAGGGAAGGAGCCGAGCCCAGGCTGGAGGTTGGGGACATGGGGGACACCACCCGGGCTCGTCCCCCGGCCAGCTCAGGGATCCACCCTCCAGGAGAGACTCCCAAAACTTCTCGCCAGCACCTTTTGCTGCAACCTGCTCCTCATTATTCCTTAATTAACACAGCCCAGAAATCAATTAGGTGCGACATGTCTAATTAAATACGCCGGGAGAAGATCGCCTCATCGTCACTCTGTGCCGAGGTGAGGGGCTCCATGTCTGCGCGCCCCCCGTTGTTCCCGGCCCCCCCAATTACAGGAAACCGGGAATGCAAATGCTCGGGGTCGTTCCCGCGAGCCCAAGGCTCCGCTTTGTGCACGAGGGAGGAGATTAATTAGTGATTAGTGAACGTGCAGAACGTTGTCATTAGCTGGGAAATCTTCCCGGCACCGTTCGCTGTCCTAAAAACCAACCGGCCCCGTGCCCGGCCCCAGCGCCGCTGGAAGGGCTGAGAGGGACATTCCCAGCTGGAATTCCCAGGTGGGACACTCCAGTGTGGGACATTCCCAGCTGGGACATTCCCATGTGGGACATTCCCATGTGGGACATTCCCAGCTGGAATTCCCAGGTGGGACACTCCAGTGTGGGACATTCCCAGGTGGGACTTTCCCAGCTGGAATTCCCAGGTGGGACACTCCAGTGTGGGACATTCCCAGGTGGGACATTCCCATGTGGGACATTCCCAGCTGGAATTCCCATGCGGAACATTCCCACAAGGGACGTTCCCAGGTGAGACATTCCCACGTGGGACATTCCCATGTGAGACATTACCATGTGAGACATTCCCATGTGGAATTCTCAGGTGGGACATTCCCAGGTGGAATTCCCAGGTAGGACACTCCAGTGTGGGGCATTCCCACGTGGGACATTCCCAAGTGGGACATTCCCATGTGGAATTTTCGGGTGGGACATTCCCATGTGGGATTTTCCCAGATGGAAAATTCCTATGTGGGACATTCCCATGTAGAATTGCCAGCTGGGACATTCCCAGGTGGAACACTCCCACATGGGACATTCCCAGGCGGGACATTCCCATGTGGAATTCCCATTTGGAACATTCCCATGTGGAATTCCCAGGTGGGACATTCCCACGTGGGACGTTCCCAGGCGGGACATTCCCATGTGGAATTCCCAGGTGAGACATTCCCAGGCGGGACATTCCCAGGTGGAACATTCCCACGTGCGACGTTCCCAGGCGGGACATTCCCGGGCGGGGCTGGGTGGAAGTGCCTTTGGAGACCCACGCCCCGAGGTTTGGGGCTGCTTTGGGATCAAATCCCCTCGCTGGGTGAGCGGAGGTGTCCCACGGGCGGGATCCCATCCGAGCCCGGCCCTCGCTGGGATGCAGGGACACGTCGGCTGGGATCACCTTGTGGTGCTCCTGGTGTCCCTGGGCTGCCCAAGGGCCCACGGGGCCACCACGAGGTGCTCCTCACGCAGATCCCTCGTCCTGCTGGTCAGCGAGCCGGGACGGCGAGGGGAAGGATGGATCTGCAGCATCCCGGCTCTCCCGGGGGTGCGCGTGGCTCTGGGAGCTGTGGGGACAAGTGCCAGCGTCCCCAGGGCCACCTCCCAGCCCAGAGCTGCCGGGACCGTGGCTGGAGCTGGAGCACCCCGCTCTGGGAGGTGGCACAGCCCTGGCAGGGCTTGGGATGGGATGAGGTCCCAGGACCCTTCCAACCCAAACCATTCCAGGTTCCGTGCTGCCAGAGGAGGCTGCAGGAGGGAACCGAGCCTGGTGCCTCCCCCAGGAGCTCCTGGGCGACGCTTGGAGCGGCGCTGGGACAAAGTTTGGGTCGGTGCCCGGGAGCGCCTGGCGGGGCCGGGATGTTCCACCGCCCAGCCGAGCTGAGTCCCATTCTGCTGCCACACGAAGCCAAACAAGTGTGCGGGGTCTGTGCGGGCAGACGACAAATCCAGACTCCTTTGGGCCCTTTGATTGTCACCCGTGTGAGGGAGCGGCTGCCTTGGAGCCGGGCCGCGCTCCGGCACGGCTCCTCCGACATCCCCGAGCTGGTCCCGGCGCCGCCCGCCGGATCTGCCCCTCTGCATCCCCTGGAGCCGCCTGGCTTTAATAAATCCCCATTTTCTGCTCCGAGCCCTGCTGATGAGCCCCGGATTAGCGGGACGGGCACCCCGCTAAGGAGCTGTGATCCCCGCAGGTGATGCGTGTGCAGGGAGAGCGCCCGCAGGGCAAAACGGGAGCCGGCTCTTTCCCGAGGCAGAACTTGGTCAATCCCTGCTTTTCCTGAGGGCAGCAAAGCCCAGCCTCCTTTCACCCACTGGAAATTCCCTGCAGGTCAGCCCAGCTCTGACACACACCCCGGCTCTGCGATCCCCCACAAACCCAAACCACCGCAGCCTCCATCCCTTCCTCCTTCCCCCTCCTCCGAGCAAAGCTGGGATGAGCTTGGGCAGAGGCCACGGGAGGGAGGAAGGATGCTCCAGACAGGCACCCGAGCCAGGAGCCTTCTCCCTGGCAGCGAGACGGGAATTTCGGCCTCAGAGGAGCCTTTCCCTGCTCCACACCCCCCCATGGATGCCGTGCCAGGGGTACTGCACCCCCAGCACCCACAGATCCATGGAAAAGGGCTGGATGTGGTTCCAGGGGAACTGCACCCCAAATCCCAACGCCACAGATCCATGGAAAGGGCTGGATGTGGTTCCAGGGGAACTGCACCCCAAGTCCCAGATCCATGGAAAAGGGCTGGATGTGGTGCCAGGGGAACTGCACCCCCAAATCCCAGATCCATGGAAAAGGGCTGGATGTGGTTCCAGGGGTACCTGCACCCCCAGCCCCATGGAAAGGGCTGGATGTGGTTCCAGGGGTACTGCACCCCCAAACCCCCCAGCCCCATGGAAAGGGGCTGTTCCAGGCTCGCAGCTGCTCGCCCAGCCCTGGGGGCTGCCTGCATCCCTCTCCCCTTCCCTGGGCTCCCCGGCTGCTGCAGGAGTTATCTGCTCCCAGCGTGCTGCCAGCGGGACAGGAGGCCATGGGAATGTCCCCAGGACAGCTGGCAGAGCCCAGCCGGGGGGATCCTCCTCTGGAATGGACATTCATCTATTCATCTCATCTCGGGCATGAAGGGAACTCCACCGGGCCCAGTCCCGCTGTGCTGGCCCGCTGTAAAGCCAGGGCAGCCCCAGGGTGCACGGGGCCCGCTCCGGGTTCCCAGCAGAGTTTGGGACCAGGAGCTGCCCCACAACAGCACCTACAAAGGGTTGGCCCCTCCTGTCCTGCCTGCCGATGTGTAAATCCACAGCATGGATCCCTTTTGTGCAATTACTCCTGATTTACACCAGGCCAGGGCCCTGAGCTGCCCCAGTGTGTGGCTCCCGTTCCTGTGGCTCTGACTCCACACCTGGGGCGCTCAGGCCTCCCAGTTCCAGGCATTGCAATAAATCCATCAGATACATTCTGTGTCAGTGGTGATTCGGTTTCCCCTTTCCCCTGGCCTCCCCAACCCCACAAGAAATGGGCATTTGAAGGGTGAGAGCCTGTGCCACCCCAGCAGCACCACGGTGCCACGGCCATCCCGCAGGTGGCTCCCACAGGGACGTCCTGCCTCTGGGATGTTCTGCTGGTGGCCACGCTCCAAATGAACCCGAGGGACTCCCTCTGGGGTGAATTTTGGGGGAATTTTTGTTGAATTTTGTGAGATACCAGAAAGCCAAACCGTGGCCCCAAAGCCAGGGAGGGCCTGACTTGGTGCAGGGTGGGGGTGACTCAGCCCTCCCCTTTCACCACCCCGGAGCAGAGCCCTGGTAGGACAGACAGACAGACAGACGGATGTCCCCGGAGGGCAGTGTCCCCTCGGAAGGTGCAGTGTCACAGCCATCAGCTCAGCGCAGCTGCCAGGACCTGCCTTGGGTCCTCTCTGCAGCAGCACAAGGCCTCGGGCAGGGTCGGCTTTGCTGGGTGGAGGGGCTGGAAAAAGTGGGGGAGAGAAGAGGAAGAGGAAGGAGAGGAAGAGAAGGGAGAAGGAGAGAAAATAAAGAGAGGAGAGGAGGAGAGGAGAGGAGAGGAGAGGAGAGGAGAGGAGAGGAGAGGAGAGGAGAGGAGAGAAGAGAAGAGAAGA